TAGCTGTTCTGTGGAACACATGGATAAGGTGAAGCCAAATGCAGACGTCAGTCTCAACTATTCCGTTGTGAGGAATTCAGGGATTCTCCATCACCGTAATAAATGCGCCTCCTCCACACCGTTGGTGTATGCAACAAACAGTGCGTGCTAGGACAGAAGTCGTAAAAAAATGTCGGATTCGCTTTCCGCTGCCACAGGTGTATCAGTGAGGTTGAATAAATGTATTCCAAAAAGAACAGGGCAAATGTCTTAAGCATGGCACGGAGGCCAGTCCACGAGCACAAAGCATCACACTGTTAAATAAAAATTTTGCACTTAACCATCTCCTGTAATCCGAGTTTCAGGGCCTGGGAGTAGGCAAGCTTGTTCTACAATGGGATTTATTTTGCCTGCAGACCAGCCCACGTAAAAAATGTTCTAGACTAATATCAAAGTCACTGCCAGACATCAGGTGGTCACGCGAGCAACGTGTTACATTTAGTGCTGTCAAACTTATATCATACATTAAATCGCGAATCGTAATAATTTGTACATGCGGCCAATTGATGTCTGGTGGTTGCTATAAGATTCCTTTGCGGTTTATACGCGTGGGCTAGATTTTGGGCCATGTTCGGGTTTAATTCCTTTGCTCTCCTTGGTTCGTATACATTCAGCTTCACGTAATGCTTCATTCTACTAGGTGGTTTCTCTCAGGACGCTAAAGTTGCTATAATGCCTTGCTTAAATGATCACCAACACTACTGAAGTTTATATAGCTCTTGTGTGTCTTAGGAGGGTTTGAACTTTTTTCCTTAAATACATGTTTTGGCTTCTACATGACACGACTATTTGAATGCTACACAGACAAGTCTAGCTAGTTTTCTACTGAACACAGAGAACCCCGTGAAGTGTTAAAAACCTTTATTTTGCAACAAAACAAAATTGCCATATTTTATGGTCTTACTGCACTATTAATAAATTATATTTATTCTATGTTAGTCTTCAAATATATTCTTATCTTTAATTTTAAAGGTCAATCATGCCATTGTTTAAGTTGTCTCAGTAGCGCCGCCAATTAGAACATTTTTTGGCTAATTAAATGTCTTCTTCTCATACTAAAACGATTAGTCGCATCTTGGACCCCGTAGCTCAACAAGTGTGTACTTTTATAAAATTATTTCTTTCGCGAAGGTCTTGAAGCTAATTCTTTTGTTTGAAGACGGAGGAACAGCTGGAGATACGCCGGATCTTGCCAATCGTGTTTCTGTTGTAAAGATGGCTGTTGATAATCTCGTCAAAGTAATGCAATGTATCTAAATAACATGTTTAGGTTGGTTATGAAACAATTCGTCAGAGTTCTGACCATATTTTTAAGCGCGACATGCCACCCGCCCTTGTTCGAGTAGAAGAGGCGTCCGTTTTTCTTCAAGATGCTGTCAAGCTACTTTCTCGCGATCCATCTTCCGCGAATGGTCGAAAAAAACTTATTGATGGTTCCCGTGGTATTCTTCAAGGAACCTGGGCCGTATTGGTTGCATTTGATATGTCGGAAGTCAGGAAAATTGTTGAATGTTGTAATTCTGTGCTCGCTATGCTCAACACTGTTTCGGATATCAAGAGCTTTCCTGAACTTGCAGATTTTGTGAAGGTAGAAGCATTAGTTATTTAAATTTTGTAGAACCTTACTCCTGGTATGTCTCAGATGATTAAAGAAGTCCACGAAAGGCAGGATGAACTTGTTATCAAGTCGCACGCTGAAATACTACAGCGGGGTATAGCTCAAGTAAAACGCATTACTCCCATCCTTATATCTTCAATCAAACTTTACCTCAACACAACCCAGCAACGTGCGTCATCACATTTTACGTGAACTTTTGCACTGTCCAATCTTTGTAACTGGCGTTCTTCTTCAGGTCTTCCTGCGGCTTGTGAAGCGCAGTCAAACAGGGACTACTTTTTACACCAAATGTCTGACGAAATATGTGAAATAATACGTGGTCTTCAGCTTACGAGCTCCGATGACACTGATTATTTAGGCGACCACAATGACCTTCGTCTTATAGCTCGAAATAGCAAAATCGCAGATGAGTGGTTGCTGAATCCTTCTGTGAGAATGCGCAATGTGCTGTTTATTTAGACTACTTGCAGCTAGTCTCTTCCATTAAGTACTGCACATTTCACTCTGGTTTTATTGACTGCTATTGCCATTACTGCTATTGCGTCTACATGTTCTTTTCTTACCTACTCATAATTTATTCCCTGTTAACGCTTTGGTGTTGAAATAACTCTGACCTGTCCAAAATGTTTTTTTGTGTAAACTTGTTCCTTTACCTCCCTCATTAGGCTAACATAAATGGTGTCGAAGTTATTCAAGATATTCTTGACACGGCTCGTCATTTTGAGGCGTTCTGTATGTCAGACTCAGAACGAATAGGTCTTCATGGACTTATCAGTGGCATTGAGTCTCGTTTGCACCAACTCCTAAATGCGCAACAAGGGGTACGTTCTAGTTCTTTATGGTTACTCAACTTCCAACTTCTCACTTCTGCTTGATACCATTTTGTTTGCATTCAGTATTTCGATGTGGAGTTAGTTTTATCGTATACTTATTGATGCGGTAAAGTGGACGGTTCCATTCTTACCCGGATATCTTCACTTTTAATACGTATCACGTCAAAGTTTCCACATTACCGGTCATTATTGACAGTCCGTATCGCATGAATCATGGAAAATTACCATGATGTCTGAAACTGTATCTTACTAGTGATAAAAGTTCAGCCAGCCCGCTTTCCTTTTAACTTGACTCATTACAGACCCCTAATCGCTTACATGTCATGGGGAGAGGCAATCCCGGTTCTCCTAACTATCACTTGCAATTTGTAGAAGAGTACTATTCCTCCACCACAACTACCATATGGTCTTATTAGTTGTGTGTTCACTATTGATAATATTGCAGAAATAATTGCACTTTATTTGATCATTTCGTGTGCTACGTTGGTAGTGAGTATTATTGCACTATTTTTACTTTGCAAGTTGACCCTGTAGATGAGTCGATTATCTACGTTAAATTGAGGCGTAACTTACAAAATTACCCTTAGTATGACTCGATACACAGTCAAGCAGATCATGGAGCTGGAAAATGAGCTTTTAACTGGAGGTCCTCTTTCAAGTATTGCCTTCACATAGTTATGCTGTATAAATTCGGGCTCCCGTGAAAAGCGAAGTCCGTGGTTCTTGAAATGGCATATATCGGTTTGAGTATGCGCTCATACTGTCATCATTGGTAAAATCTTCAGAGTACTCAATGCATCCACTTGTTCTCTCTCAGACCTCTTTCCAAATGCTGCATATGATGCTGTAACATGGGCACGGCTTACAAAGGCTTGTTTATTACAGTAGGAGAGTGCAGTTTTGTTGATAACTATACTCCTAGCTTTATTTTCCTGAAACTGAGTCGTTAGTGGGTATGGTCCCAAGGCGAATATTGCATTGGAATAAATTGTGTCTCCTACCAGCACTTAGTTAATAAAGTCATAGTTGTTTTCTCAGGAAAAATTTGGTCATGAGTTGAAAAGGCGGTCGTCCTCAAGTTTCTGTCGCAAAACCGCGCTGATGGGGTACTTAATACAAGCCTTTTTTATCGGCCTAGGGTGGAACCCTGCCAACAGTCGTTGACAGTGGATACAAACTAGGAAACAATGTTTGCCTGTTTTGCGGTGGGTGGATGGAGACCTCAGCTAAAAGTTGTCGCGCAACTTGAATTATACGATTTCTAAAAAACTTTGAAACGCATAAATTTGGTCGGTAGGGGTACAAAATGTAGTGATATTTTGAACAACAATTGCGCTACTTAAAGCTTTAGAAAACTCAAATAGTTATTTGATGACCAAGTAGCATAGTCAGTGAGACAACTTTCGGAAATCTGAAGCCAATTTTGATAAAAATCAACAAATGAGTTTATTTAAAATTTCCAATTTTGTCTAGCTGTTGTGGTAGACATTAGCATTTGTGAAATCGCTTAAGTTGGACCATATTACTCATTTTTTCATGGAATTTGATTAAGTTTTTGCTCAAAAACTCCAAAATGCTAATGAAAATCGCTTTTAGCATAAGCGGTATTCAGGTTGCTATGTCAGTGCGTTGCTTTTCACCCTCGTGCTAGGCTGGTCTTTGACCAATGGCCTCCCCATGTCCACACACTATTTATAGTCCTCATTCTCACCTCTTAACTACGGAATCGACCTGTGCGCTTTCGGGACTTGCGCTCCGTAAAAGATACACTGTTTGGAGTGCTACTTTTGGAGTAACTTTAGTATTTTTTTGTATGCGCTCACAGCGGACATCACCGGTGACTTTGTAGATAATATGAAGGTGTAATGCTTAAATGCAGAACATGTATCGCATTGTTACAACCAAACTAATGAAGCCATTATCTTGTTTGTACATAATAGCATTTGTCTAGGGTTTCTGTGCAAGTACTGGTTGTAGACTCATCGCTGTGTGCCACTAGAGCGCGAATTTGTTTCACACTTGTTACTTGTTGAGGAAGCTTACGGTAATTAAAACACTCCCTTCAGATCCACCTCTCCCACCATAGGGTTGTCGGTAATCTGCAATTCATCATATCCATTCATATGTTTATTTTTCATCAAATACTAGTAGTTTTCTGGACCACTCTCTATGTGCTATGTGTAAGTTTAATTAGTTGACAAAAGGATCATCGATGCTCTTAAAACCAATCGAAAACTTCTGTCCCAAAAAATGAATCTTTTAAATGTTCTGGTTAGACATTCCAAATGATTTCAATCATACAGCTCAAGACCCGTCACTTTAATTTTGCAGAACGAGAATCTTCCTTTCGCCTTGAATTTCTTTCGACTCGTCTTCAGTACCCATTTGTAATGATTTTTGGATTACGATTGTATTGAAATTTTTAGCTCCTATAAAATAACATTAACTTAATTTTCGGTCCTGTACGTTACTACTTGCTACTTGTAAAGCTACGTAGTTTAGCGGTAGGGACTCAGTCACACCGAAGGGAGCGTGCGGACTGGTTAATTCGGCTTTGAATCACTTGTTGTCTGACCGTTTCAGTTTCTCGATTTTTTTATTAAAGACCCTAACTTTGCGAACTTTATTTCAGTTCGCTTTCAAATCAACGATTGCTCATTAAAAAGGTGGGTTTTGACAGCTCCGCATGATTTCATAGCTTTGCAAAAGTGTGCTGACCTATGGTCTTTCCCGAACTTGTGGCCTTATACATAGTCTTTCTATCCTGGCCATAATTTTCCTTACCATCAAGTCAACACATTTTTGAAACTAAGTTCTCCTCTTTTTACCGCATCAGTGGTAATGGGAAGTGAGATGTGGGCTGACCATACTTTAATGCCAAAAATATTGTCTATGTTTTGCGTAGCAATATGAAGCAGTTTAAATGCAAAAAATATGCATGTTGGAGTGTCGGAACACGATCTTTTTTCTGTTTTCGGCTTTTCGATTTGTGTAACCCTTAAAATATCCTAAACAAATTACAAAATTTCATTTTTATTTCGTGTAATTAGTGAGAACTGCACTAATGCACGCCATAGGATTTGTATGAAGATAGCTTTCTGGACGCATTGTCATGCCTTATCCTCACTGCAATTTGTTCTAAAAGTCACCAAGCTATCACTTACTTCCTTGTTCAGAGCTGACGTCTGTACTTAATTAGCTTCGGTTTCGCGCTAGAGTAGCTTGCTAGATCTTCCTACTTTTCGATTTATATTTCTTTTCCATCTATTTACGGCACTTTCTAAAGCGAGGTAAAGTACGCTTTGGTACATATGGCAAACAATTATAGCTTGTCGATACTCCTCCACCTCCACTTTCTTATCAGAGCTGAATTTTTTCTGCACACTTGGCTGGAATTGCATTCAGATCTTATTGTGTTGAAATCGGTCTTCTTGGGTGCAAATTTTCAGCTTTGCTAATTGAATTACGAATAGCCAGAGTTTCCATGGTGGCCAAGGTCACCATAGCTAGCTCTCTGCTAACTCTGCTCTTGCAAGTTCTTCATATTCGTAATGGCAAATGCACCAGCTGCTATTGTTCTCCTACGAGGTCGAGCCCACAGAATAGCGATTCCTCAGTACGTGACCTCGAGTAACACGGAGATGTGACCTCGGTACCATGACTCAATCGTCTTATGCCTATGGTAGCGTATTGGCAAAAGTTAAGCGTCAACATAGGAATCAGATTTTGAGAACCCTTCTCGATAATCAGTTCGTCGCATGTGACTCATTATTGTCAGTCCACTCCTTACTTTGACTGTTTGGCATTTTGTCGTATACATAATTATTTCTGTGACGCTTTCACCCTAGCAACTTCTAGATTGTCTTTCCTGGTTGATAGGATTAAAAGCTGTCACGTAAATGCAAAATGCCTCTTTTGTTGGGGACTCCACAGGCCCAACTTAAATGGTATCGCCTCAGTACTTTGTTCTGTGACCTGAATGAGACTATGCATTAGATGCCCTTTACTAACAAGATCATGTTACACTCTGATCATTGCCTGGATCTGCATCGGCAAAATCCTCTAGAAGTTCATATTTGATGTTAATTCAGGACTCTTGCAGTTCTTACATCCCGAGGCTATTCATTCCTCCACTTTGTCCGACCAACAGAAGGTAGTTGAGCTTTTTTTTCAATTGAAATATCTTTATGAACTCGTGTCTTACATAACATAGTTAAGTGTTATGGATGAAGCCAGTGTGGAATAAGTGTAGCTTTACCTGACTTTACGGTAGAGATCCATGGGACCTTTTGCGATTTACGGCTCCTTGGTTATGCTGGAATTTCGATTGAAAGGAACTTGTGCGCACTCGTGTTCACAAACATACCTTGTCACTGAGTTTACCAAAATAAAGCACTGGAAGTCATGTGTTTTGACGACTGTTGAGAATAAAAGTGCACATCAGGAATCTCGGTACTCACATTCGTTGAAAAGTAAGTCCACGCAAAAGCGCAGTTGCTTCGTTTGATTTTCTTTGGCCTCATGGAAAAGATTAATTTACCGCTAGGGCGTGGGATTGATTTGAATTTGTGTACCTGTAAGCCTTTGTTTCAGAGCGACGCAGCAATAGCAGCACAGAGCGCGTCAGCGTGCCGCGACGACTTAGCACGTCTGCTAGAACTGTGCAGGGCACTGTGTGAACGGACGGAGCATCAGAATGCCATCTACCGATTGGCGCGTACATTGGAGGGCAAGGCAACACAAGCGAGGCGCTGGCTTCTCGAACCCCGCGGACCCCAGAGACAAGTCGGCTTTGAGGCAGCCAGGGCCCTCATCGCTCAAGCTCTCCAAATCATCCAAACAGAGGCTGAAGAGGAAGGGTTTCAGGATTCAGACTTCCAAGAGTCATGCGACCATCTACGCTCCAAAACTGACGAGCTCTTTGCCCTACTCGAGAAGCCACTAAGTTTGTGCCCTATTGTCAAATGAGCATTTTTTTGGCAAAATTTGACCTCTACTTCTCCAGGATTTGCTTAATCATAGCTCTTCCTCCAGTTACTTCCCTTAATACTGTATGAGAATATCAAACGCATTTTTGTTTGAAAATGTTAACTATGATTGTGCCTATAGAGAAATTTGAGAACCCTTTAACTGAGACATTTTAGAATGCATTGAATAGTAAATTTGTCGATTGTTATCACTAGCTTTGGCCGAAAGTGGTCGTTTTAAAAAGTTTTTTTTAATAAGCTATTATCACTGGTAAAATAATCCAGTGGACAATGCGAAATCAGCCTTCCTTCCTGTTATTACAACTCCTCTTTTGAGCTTTTTCAATTGTATAGGCTCTTGAAGTGCCGATTATTAGGTAAATGTTTTTTACCACTGTGCGAGTTTCATCACCGCTATATAAGGCAAAAACTTAATTTATGTACAAAACTAGCTCAAATAAATATTGGTGTATTGGCGTCTTGTCCGGACCAGATCTGATTCTGACGAAAGATTTCGCAATTTCGCATAAAGTGAAGTTTGTTTTCAACAAGTTTCCATTTTATTTGAAACTGTAGTTTCCGAAGTTCAGAGGTTACGAGAACAAAAGCTGGCAGCGGAAGCTGTTCAAACTTTGGACTTTATGTGGCACAGTATGCAACACGGGTTGGTTCGACAAGTCGCCAATTTCTTCACTGATCTTATCGGTCCCATCAAGAATCTGCAAGAGGCAACTTCTGCTGTCCCTGTCAATGAAACCGCCTACCAGCAAGCAGCCGATTCCTTCCTTGTAAGCTTTCAACTTTGTTTTAACTTTGAGAAGAGAAGCACTTTGTAATTATCAAATACGGAAACTTTAAGCTCGTTTGAAACTAGGATGGTCTAACTTTTAATGGACTCCAGGGAAATAAGTGAATAAGACTATTTATCTTCGTAAGAAGCCAGTGGATTTCTCATTCTCTAGTGCCGATAGCCTTCTTGTTTCGAACATATTCAAATGCACTTATTTTTTTCCACGGGCTCATACCTGATTCCGCCTTATTGGAAACTTCACGCGAACGAAAGCCAGTTTTTGTTCTTGTATGTGGTATTATTGTGGTCAGTACTGAAATTTTGTGGGTTTTCCTGCAAACTTTGCATATCTATTCATAAATTAAAAGTCGTATCTGATCATCATATGTAGTCGACCTTGAAATGAGAACTTTGATATTATTGAAAGAAAAGGATCTTATCAACTAGTTATGGCTAGAGTTAATAATGTTCGAGGTTAATGGCAGGGGTGCTTTGACGTTGATAATGACTTTGATTGGTGTATATGCGAACAGGAACACTCGCGAAGAGTGAAGCAGACGGCCAGTCTAGCGGCAGGCAATTTGGTGGATCCATGGCGGGGCATCGCGTTGCAGACCCTCGCTTCCAACCTCGAGAGCGTCGGCAGTCAAGTCAATATGGCTGGTCGAGCGGTAATGTCGGCACGCCAAAACGGTGCCAGCACCCAACTTCAGAACGCCGCTTCAGACCACTTTGACCTCATCAAGAGGCACTGGACCGAGTGTGCCGAGCGCACTAGAAATTTGGTCGATGAGGCCATTGACGCTAAAGCCTTCATTAAGGCTCAAGGTGCAGCTTACGTCTTCTGTGCTCTCTCCATCACTTCAACTGGCAAAATTCGTTATTCTCTGGTTGGAGATCAATCGACTCTCAAGCAGTAGAAGAATAATGTCGCAGAGATAATTTTCATTGTATTTAAGTTTGTCCTTTTTATCATGGTAAATTAGATTTTCATTTGCCTTGCTGTCTTCACTGGCATCAGTGAAAGCTTTCAAACAGTCCTTGCATTTTGGTCTTTTTCCCATTCGCAGTCGTATAGCATTGGTCCTCGGTTTTCAAACGAACCATAACCATTGTCAAAACTTTTAAGGTACTTCAAGACACAATGAGGCATGGTTTGAAGTTCATAAAACTTTTTTGACTTTAATTGCTGTCTTTATAACTTAATTGTAACAAATGCTTGAGGGTTGTAGACAGGATATTTCCATGTTCTTCGTTGTCTACTTCCTTTAGAAACTGGAATATTGCGAGACAATGATCAGATTGAGGATAGTGTTGATCAGCATTGTCCTGCCTCTGTTGTGAATGGAACCACGAGCGTTGCCCTGAGAGCTAATCGCGTGCTGCAAGTTGCTATGCGGGAGACTGAGAACAGTGAAGATAGTGTTTATGTTGATCGTGTGAATGAGGCCGTCCACAGACTGCGGACCAGTGAGTTGATTCGACTCTCTTTATGCCCTATAGTTTCACGTAGAAGACAGTCGACTAGATTGCTGTTCATTTATTCACGCAACTACCACATCTCATTGCATAACTGATTCTTTCTCCATCTTAGGCATCACAGCGATGGTTGCAGATGCTAAAAGTATGGTCCTGGCAATGGACGACCCGAGTGTCCGCGATCGCTGGCGCGCCTCTAGTAGAAATTTGGTTGATGCTGTCTCCGGTGTAGGTCAGGTAGTTGAGCCGACTTATCTTCATCCCGTGGCGGTCAATGCAGGTCCGGCTTCCCAAAGAATCACATTAAGAGGCAAAGAAGACCCAGTTACTGACACAATCCCCATTGCTGGGATGCGACAACTTTGCATCCAGGGTACTATTCCTTTCGTTTCTCTCCTTTTGAGCTGCTTCCTACACACATGCTTTCTGCGCCTCTAAGCTCAGGTTAAACTGAAATTGGTCATTGCTACCAACTTGTCATTTACTTCTGTAATCTCATTAACATATTTTTGGATCAAATGATGTTCAGTGAGATCGCTCTCCAATGCGACTTCTTTTTGACCGTGACCTGATTATTTAATAAGTATCGTTTCAAACTCGTAAAAGGTCCAACTTTAGCCGTCAGTTTGGCTTTGAGATTTTAATTCCATCCACGTATTTTCGTTCTCATCGACTTCTAAATGCTCTTTTGCACTGCAAAACCACCCTGTTTTAGCTATAAAGTTGACTTATTTATTACTATTGGGCTTATTGTGGATTTCTATTTCGCAAAAGTTAGAACTTCAGTTTTTTCGCTCTTGATCCAATTAATTGGAACTTTTTTGGTCATCTGCATTATGAATGCTTCCTGTCATTGGATAACAAAATTTACTTTTTGTGTCTCTGTAGTACCTAACTTGACACTTCTACTTGCGTCATGGTCTGTTATGAGTCTGATTGGTGATACTTTGCCTTGTCTCAAAATATTGCTAGTCTAGTGCATTACATGTGGAAGTACGAGCTACATATTAATGGTCTTCTGGAGATGTTAGCGCCCGTTCATAGAAATTGGCCCATGCTCACCAGTGGTGTCCGTCCATTTTATGCTCTGTGCCTTTATTCTACCTCAGTAAAAAGCAAGTTGCTGAAGATTTTTATGAATGGATCCAAAATTTGGACTGAAGAACGGAGTGCTGTGGTCGATATAGGGTAGCTGTGTCTCATCAACTGTTCATCGTCATGGTGCCATGTAACCAAGGTCACAATAGAGCTTGCTTGCAAATCAGTGGTGCTTATTGGCTAAATATGGCAATGATAAAGTGGGTAATTTGCCTCAGTACTGAATAGACTGTTGGTAATTTTTAAAGTTGGTGTGCTGAACTCGTATATACGATGTGATCAATCCTTTCTTATCAGTATTCATTGTCTTGCATCCACTATGCGGTGTTTTCCTTACCCTTGTGTTTATAAAGCAGTGAATTATTTATCTGCGGCTAAAACTGCCGAGGTAACCGCATCCACAATCTTCTCACAAATGTCTGCCTATTTAACGGTAAGAAAGTGTATTTCTTGGTGACCGCTTTCAGTGTAGTTGTTTATACCTCGTTCCTTAATTAGTCGTTCTGCTCCAGTTGAGCAAGATTTTGAGCCCCTCAGAATGCATTTTCCACCATATCACCGCATACTGGCTGCTTCAAACAGTGACGCTTCACGGTTGTCACTTTTTCCTCGAGTTACTGCAGGTCTTGCCATAATATTTCCACGCTCACATTTTTATTTTCGTATTCCTTATGAACGCACTTTATTTCTTCATTTAAATGAGTGGAGTTTGATCACAAAGCATTTGTTGCAACATTCTCGATTAGCATATGCATTTTGAATTGGGCTATTACTTTGCATCTTTGTGGTGGAATGCGCAAATGTTCTGCGGATGGAGTTTGGGAAAATTACTAATAATCATCAAGTCAGTTTTATCATCCGTTCTTTCAACTAGTCGTTTGCATTTTGACTCATTCATATCGTCAGTTAAAGGTATTTGGGCAGCACTTATTAGGCATGGTTCGTAGCCACAAAACGGATTCATGTTACATACGCATTTATCCTCAAGAGTCACTGTTTGCCGCGCAATGTAGAGCTGGCGGCGTCGAAGGCTGGCTCACAAGGTGCTCATTTTCATCTACTATTCATGGAATGACAAATGTCTTCTCACTATTTGCGTTTCCTTTTGGTACCTCAATGGTCACCACTTAACCGAACAGAACGCCTAGAAGACTTCCAGAACTAGTGCGAATACTTAGAAATAAAACATCGACTACTGGGATTTCTGGAACGTTCTATATTTATTTACAAGCCATTGGGATCTAAATTTTATAACCCATTGATTTATATTTTAGGTCATTTTTTCGTCCACTTCTACTCACCCATCGCCTCTTCAGTTTGTTTTCACACTTTCAGGCATTTGTGACTCAACACGCATCAAGAGTCGCCGCCTGACGGTCCTCTCTTTTTCGGTTTTGTTGTCTTTTGGAAGTTTTCATAATAACGCACCAACATCTCGTTTGTAAAGATCTTTATTTTTTTTAAATATCTCTTATCGTTCCAATTAGCAGGGATCAAATGAAGTTATGGTTTGCCCTTAAGAAGCACTCATTTGCTTTTCCCGCTCTGCCATTCACAACAAGCTGTTATGCGGTATAGCATGGAATTGACGGGAGATTAACTTCTTACCGCCTATGAGATGA